TGTCACTAATTCTAGTTGAGTTCCTTATGATCATATATAGAAGCCATAGGACTTAAATCCTTTGAGATACACAAGCGTGTGTGCCATGGTCCATGTGCTATGTAATTTAATGATTTCCTGAATACTTGCAGATACATAGGACAGCCCCACATCTGTTTTCTCTTTTCCAATTCCTGTTCCAATACACATCCTAATGATCGGGCTGTTTGAAACTGTGATACACAAACTTCATATGGGTGAAATAGGCTTTATCTGCATTTGAATCAAGTTTTCAATGACTTCTTCCAAAATAAGTTTGCCTCATCTCTGCTTGAGTTCAGATGTCAACTGAAAATTGTTAAGCTGTATATTACCAAATTTGCTTAGATTGTAGGGCATGAGTTTTGAATAATATTCCATTTATTAGAGCCTCTTAATTGTACAAAATGCTGGGATTCAACATGCTGTGTACAAATATGCATATAACACTCATATATTTGGACCGTAACTATCTCTGCTATTACCCTTCCTTTAACCCATGGCCATGATTTTTAATTAAAGGTTATAGATATTTTATTTCTGCTCACCCTGGATAGTTTCCATATGGAGATTTGACCTAAATTTGTCCAAAACTGCTATTTCCCCTGGAGAATATGTCTCTGGAAATCATATTCTAGATTGTTATTCTTCTTCTGGCATCTCTGGAGGTGCATACCCTGCCCTCACGCTGAGGACTGGGGTCCCAGTGAGTTTAATTAAGGAATACGTCACCCTTGAGCATGTAGCAAGTGAAAGATTCAACCATAAATGCTATGATTCCAACAACACACATTAAGTGTCCACAGACTACTGTCCTTCCATCAACGAGTGTTTGGCTAAAGGAGTATTCACTCGACTGTGTTCTTAGCCATCAAAACAATACACTCAAAACATGATGAAATCGGCAAAGGTTTGGTCAGTGGTAAACATTCCCAGGTGCAGCGATGGTGTGTATGGTATTTTGCTCTCTGTATTCTGAGAGACTGTATCGGTGTGTGAAGCTGTTGTCATTTAGGACCAGGAGAAATCACCAGTGCAGCCCCTGGACTGAAGCACTGTCTGCTTATGTGCAGGTAACTCAAGAGGGACACTCATGTGTCAGATTCTAATGGAGAGTTTAAATTTTGCAAGTGTAGTAGATTTATTCCAATAGATCTCATAATCTTTTCAAGCTTCTACAAGATTCTCATACTCTGTTGCACTATAGTGTCCATGGTAATTGCTAAACTATATATAAGTTGATTCCAATATTTATTTGAAAATTTATACAATTCAAACTGCAAGAAAATATTCTTTCATTTTAACTATCTTTAAAGCTTTGTCACATTTATAATGTGATGTTCATAAAATGATGTCTTTTTATTTGTGTTTGTTGATGAATTTAGCATTGTACCATATGCTTTTTGATCACTGACTGTACTTTTTAAGTTACTTGTTTATATTCCTTGTCTGCTTTGCTATTGCCTTGTATTTCTTAAATTAATTTCTTAAAGTTTGTTGGCTATTTCAGGTGCAATCTCTGCTTATCTTCTCTAAAGTGCAAATCTTTCATCCAAATTAATTTTGTGTAATCAGTTATGGCACTGTTTCTTACACTGTTAAATTATTTCAAAGTTGTCAAATATGCTAATTTGAGATTCATCTTATTAGTTGAAAAGGTTCTTCTAAACCCAAAGTAGAAAATCATCTCTATTTCATGACCTTGTGGTGTGTACAAAGTAAGTTTTCCTGTCATTTCACCTTAAATCTTTGCTATATTTTTATTTTTTATTTTGGAATTATCTATATGCAGGATATTATTAACAACCAGATGAAAAGTTAGTTCTGGGAGATTCATCTTTCTTTTAGGAAAAGTCCTTGTTCTGTATGTCTCTGATTACTTATCTCTGTTGCCTTGGCCTGTAAGATCATTGAAATTATGGATATGTTTCCAAATTGCATCATTATCTGGAATATAATAAATCATAATGGCTATTGATGGGATGAAAAATAAGTTTTCTTAAAATTTGATGAAGTCACTGCTAATAATACTATGTGCAGATAATTTTATTCTGAGCTGTGACACAAGGACACACAGAAGGACGCATGGAACACGGGAACAATGTGACCGAATTTGTGCTCTTGGGGCTCACTCAGAGCCCCCAGGGTCAGAAAATACTATTCGCTGTGTTCTTGATGATCTACCTGGTGACAATGGCAGGCAACCTTCTCATCGTCCTGACTGTGGTGCTCAGCCCAGCCTTGGATGCCCCAATGTACTTCTTTCTTGGTTATTTATCACTTATGGATGCTATTTATTCTAACACAGTTACCCCAAATATGATGATAGACTTACTCCATGTGAAGAAAACCATTTCCTTCAAAGCTTGTATGACACAACTGTTCTTAGAACACTTCTTTGGTGGTGCTGAGATTTTACTCCTGGTTGCCATGGCCTATGACCGCTACGTGGCCATCTGCAAGCCCCTGAATTATTCGACCATCATGAACCAACGAGTGTGTGTTCTGTTGTTGGTAGTGGCCTGGGTTGGGGGTTTTGTGCACGCTATACTGCACATCTTTTCTGTTCACAACCTTCCCTTCTGTGGCCCCAATGTCATTGACCACTTCATCTGTGACATGTACCCCTTGTTAAAACTCGCCTGCACTGACACCTATGTTATTGGCCTCACAGTGGTGGCCAATGATGGTGTCATCTGTGTGGTCATCTTTTCACTCTTGCTGGTCTCCTATGGGGTCATTCTGCGCTCCCTGAAGAACCTGAGTCAGGAAGGGAGGCTCAAGGCCTTATCCACCTGTGGCTCCCACATCACGGTGGTCGTCCTCTTCTTTGTTCCTTGCATTTTTCTGTATGTGAGGCCCCCCTCTACTTTGCCCATTGATAAATCCTTGGCTGTCTTTTACACTGTCATTACACCTTTGTTGAACCCCCTCATCTATACTCTGAGGAATGCTGAGATGAAAACTGCCATGAAGAAACTTTGGACTGGAAAAGGGAAATGAAAAACAGAGAATCATCATATGTGTTTCTTACTGAGAGCTTTTAGTTTGAAAGTAGTCACATCGGATTATTTCGTTAATAAAATTTCTCTCAAGTTTGATAACTGTACATAATGGAAAATATCTGATCCATAGAGTGTTAAGACTATAAGAATATTTTTGAAAAACTTTTTAGTGCAAAATGGTTCGTCAAGGTTACACTTGAATGTGCCACAATTAATATTGTACATTAAGGTTTCTTCATAATTCATATATAAGTAAATATATCCTTTTTCAAAATTAATAATACTCATCATAAATTGGAAATAATAAAATATGAAACAATATGTAAATACCTTTTTTCTATCACAGATTAAAAGTATTAATAGAGCCTATTCATATTTGAAATATATATATTTGTTTTGTGAGATACATTACATAATTTTATTCACACTGTTTAACTGTTTATGCTTAAAGAGGTAAATATATCTTTTTTAATATAATCACAAGGAGTTAAATGCACAAGAATGATGTTAATAACTAGGGGAGATGTGCAGGAACACAGCTAAATGTTACTCTTTCCAACTGGAAATCCTTTGAGTGTTTTGGGGGAAAAGCTTTGTTTGGTGTCACGTTTTCCTACAAATAAAGATGATCCCTTAGTTTTCTTCTCTAGTTTAGAGTACCTGGTAAAAGGGTCTAGGGTTTTAGCTCAGTGGCACAGCACCTGCCTGGCAAGCACAAGGTTGTGAGTTCAATTCCCGGTACTGGAAAAAAACAAACAAACAAAAAAGAGCACCTGATAATGACTCTGCTATTTTCCATTATGTTCTTCGTTATATCCTTAAGTGTTTATGTTCTCCTGAAAGGGACCAGGCTCTGCTTTTCATATATCAAGTTAACCTAATCTTTAATCCATACACTACAAATATGCAATACAGACCTGCAGAGTAGACAGTTAACAAAGATTTTGACAATAATGCTCTTTTCATTCTTATCTCATTATTTTTGAGTTATGTATATTTACATTTAATTATTTTAATTGCACATAGTACAGCATGATCATTCTCTACTATTATAGAATGTGTACTGATCAAATTAGTGTGGATAATGCTTCTATCTTTTGAGACCTTCAAAACTTTAACAAGTACATGGTATGCATAGCTATGGTAATCCGCATGATATTTTCGTATGAATATACAGTGGGCACTGATCAAATCATTGGAATTAATGATTTCAACTGCTTTTCATCATTTTATGTTTGGAAACTTTAAACCTATTAGTAAAAATGAAGATTTTTTTGGTAATAAAGTTGCCAAAATATATGGTTTTATTAGACTGTAACCTCCGTCATAAAATCTTTGTGACAAAGTCTCTGCGACTCAGACTTAAAGTTAAATATTGTCTGTGTCTAAAGTAGTAGAAAATATATGACCAGCAACCCTTCTTCTTGCTCTCCTGAAGAGTCTGGCATTATCAAAGTCGAAGGCCATGAGAAAATGAGTGTTTTTCATTGCTAAATCGTGCTATCTGAATAACTCTGTATCCTTATTGCTATTCTTTATAATGATTTCATAGAAACTGAGTACATATGTCATTTAAACTCTTTCCAAACATAAACATAGATTCACTGGATTGTGTCAAGTTTCTGTTTGTATGAGTGTGTACACAACTATGTCTTACATGTTTGGATATGCAACTGATTTTCAAATTTGCACAGTTACACAGAGTGATGAGGATAAAGGTAGAAACGGCACTGTGGAAGGCCCTGAACAGAGGAAAGCTGCTCACTTCATGGCACCTAGGAATCAGGTGCTGAAGGGAGGAGCCAGTGCAGGAGAGGCAGCTTCCAGGTCAGACCCCACTGTCCCAACATTGCATCCCCTGGATTGTGAAGCAGCCAGTAAATACTTCCAATCCATCCAGAGGAGTCTTGGTTTTAGGTCCAAGAGAGTTCTCATCTTCCTGGACTGCCCACAGACCATATTACTTGTCTCTTTTGTTTAAGCCTTTGCTGTATACTCATCATAGGAGATCAGGAGCCCGGCCAAACCCCTGATAGAAGTGTGGAGGAGAATCCAGATAGCAGGACATACCAGGAACATGGAATATCTTACAAGAAAGCTGCAAGCTAATAGCCCAAAAGAGAGCTCATCTGGGAGCAAGCAACAAGGCCACAGGAGTAGCGATGCCTAAATGCTGCAGAGGTCCTCTCTCACCAGCATGCACCCAGATGCTGCATGTCGGAGTGTAGAACTTAATTTTTTTTCTGCTAGATTTCAGTTCTGTTTTGGTCAGATTCATTTCATTCTTCCTATTCCTATCATTTGGAATGTGGCTGTTGGCTCTGGGCCACTGCATGCTAGAAGGACTTTATTTTCCTCTAGATGTTTCTTCAGGGATTTATAGATAACAGTTTGCCATGAGTCTCAGAAGAAATTTTGGATTTGGTCAGCAATGCTGAAATAACAAAGATGGACTAAATACACTTAATGAAATGAAATTTACCCTTGGGGACTCATGCAGTCCACAAAAACAAACAAAAAAACAAAAGAACCCTCATATGTTAAGATACAGGGCTTGGACAGAGTGGCTGATCCACTAGGTGTCACCTGGAAGAGTGTGCTAATGTGTTATTGTATTATTAATTTGTTACAATATTTGGGACATCAATCTAGTATGTCTCTATTTGTTTTCTTGAGAAATCACTTTGAAGATATCAATAAGTAATACAACAACCATTGTTAATTTCCTACAACTTTGTCTGTAACTCTGTTTTGTTTGTATTGTTCTTATGCTGTTTTGTAAATGGATGTCTGTTTGTTAATATGTTTTCCTTCTTTTATTTCTTAAAATAAAAAAAAATATTTGGGACAAATTCAAGTGAAGTAGTCTCTCCCAAACAGCTTTTATCCTATGAACAATACTGAGAATATAAAGATGTGTCTTCCAAGGAAATTTTTTTACAGTTCTCTGATTATCTGTGACCCAATGACTAATAAAGAGTATATTATTTAATCTCCATGTGTTTGTATAGTTTTTATGATTTCATTGGCTATGTATTTCTAATTTTATTTCTCTTTGATCCAATAATGTGCAAGGGATGGTATTTTAATTGCCACTTATTTAAACATGTTGATGGCCTAAGAAATAGTCTATTTGGAACAGGTTCCATGTACTTCTGAGAAGTGTTTATTCTATTCTTAAATGAAACACCTTTGGATATATGTTAAATACATTTATTCGATACTATGTTCCTTCTATAATATTTATTTGTTGACTTTTGTCTAGGTGATCTATTTATGAGATGGAGTGTGGTTGTCTGGTATTTATCTGTCCTTTTTAATAGCTTTTCTTTTATGAAAGGAGTTGCCCTGATATTTGGTTCATGTATATTAATTACTTTATTGTCTTGTCGCACTGCTCCCTTTTACTGGTGTGTACTGACCTTCATTGTCTCTTCTGATCAGCTTTGGCTTGAAATCTTTTCCAGGAAGTAGCATAGCAGCTTCTGCTTACTTTAACCTCAGTTCCATGGTATGTTACATCCTATACTTTCACTTGCGGTCTGTATGTTTCCTTTCTGACGAGTTTTGTCTCTTGCAAATAATCTTCGGATGGGGCTTGTTTTCTTAACCCAAACTCCCTGTGTGTTTTTTTATTGTGGAGTTAAGACCACTAACACAGCTATTATTTTAAGGTTTTTACTGAATCTTGCCACTGAAATATTTTTCCAGTGCTCGTTTCTTCACTTTTTCCTGTTTTCTTAGCTTTTCTCCAACTTAGATTTTTTTATTTTCCTTTGGGTTCTTTGGTAGTGGAACCCTCCCTTGCTCTGTCTAGGTGTTTCTAAAGTATTTTCTGCAATATGGGTTTTGTGGTTATCAATTTTTTAGAATATTTTGGCATGGGAAGTTTTTTATTTCTCCAGCACTTAGCATATAAAAGTGTTCATTCCCAATTGTTTTCTTTTTTGGCCTGAAAAATGTTACTCCAAGTCTTCTGGCTTTTGAGGTTTGTGGTGAGAAATTCTCCATTATTCTGATAGGTTTGTGTTTTAAGTTCCTTGCCCTTTTTCTCTAACAGATTTTTCTATTTTTTTATTTGTGCTTAATCTAGAATTTTGAATGTGATGTGTCATGGAACTCTTTTCTGGTCATGGCATGTGGGGTTTTATAAGCCTGAAACTTGAATTCTGTCCCAACATTTGGAAATTTTGCTAAAATTTTTGTGAATGATTTCCTTATACCTTTCGAGTCCTTTGGGAACTTTCCTTTCATACAACAGTTCTTTTTTTTCTTTCTTTGGCATCTATCTGCTGTTGAATCGAGCTTTCATGCTATCTTGTTCTTTTTAGGCTACTATTGAGTACAATAATTTTTGAGGGTGATTTATTCCCTCAAACTTTACTTCAAGATCTGATACTCAGATCTGATTTCCTCACATTGATTGTATCTTTTTTTCCCTTTGAGATGGGGTCTTGCTATCTAGTTCAAACTGGCCCTAAACTCAATATGTAGCCCAGGCTGGCCTCGAACCCATGGCGATCTTTCCTCCCTCAGCCTTCCAAGTGCCAGTATTACAAGTGTGCACCACCATGCCTGGCCACATTGGTTGTATCTTCTATCCGTATTTTCAATTAGATTTTTGTATCGTGGATTTCTGCTTGTTTCTTTTCATAATTTCTGGTCATTTATAACTTGGATAGTCTTGTTAGATTCAAGTCTACTTTTTGTATCCTACCTATTTAAGCTCACTAAATATTTTATTATTTAATATCTTTGTCTGTTTAGTTACATCCTCTTAAGCTCACTAGACATCTTATAGATATGCTTATTTTTTTCTTTGATCTGTTCAAACATCTTAACCATTTGGTTTATGAGTTCTTTGCCTGTAACTTCTTTATTCCAGTGCCTGTGAGATCAGCTTTCGGGGTGATAGATGTGTTGGGCTGCATCTTGTTACTATGTTTCCTCTAGTGCCTATTGTTTTTGTGAATTTAAAATAAAGCACTAGGGGCTGAGGATTTAGCTCAGAGGCACAGCGCCTGCCTGGCAAGCCCAAGGTCGTGAGTTCGATTCTTGGTACTGGAAGAGCAAAAACAAAACAAATAAAATAAAGCACTTGATAATTCTTACACTGCATCTCCCATATACAATCAACTTGCATATATATACCAAATGAAAAGTGAAAGGAAAAAGAAAAAAGACAACCAGAAAAACTCACAAAGACACAAAAATAAAGGCCCTTCTCCATAAGAACGACTGAACAGATTTCTGGTTCCCTCTACAGGCAGAGCCCTGTTATGTTTCAGCTGTGTCCAGTAGGCATCACAAGCTGGGTGTTTCTCCTGTCTGACACCTTCAGTCATTTCTTTCAAAGTTGGTCAGGCAGCATGGGATTGGTGAAGCACTTGAACCTCCACTCATCTCTGGGCTGGGGCTTCTTTGAGCCCTGTCCTCGTCCTCCCAGGGTAATGCTTGAAGCTGTTTGCATCTATTCTCTACACACTACCTCAGGTGAGACCCCACATGACTCTCACTGATCCAACTGTTTCTCTCTGACACTGCACATTCTTATCTCTCTGTCCACGCCTGTCATAGGCTCTCCAGCCCACAAATTCAGTGGTGTCTAGAGTTCAGAAGGAGAGGGCATTTCTGCCTGGACCTCGGGAGCATCCAGAAGTCAGGAGGAGGGAGCTCACTGGGCTTCTAGCTGAGCGGGCTTTAATGGACAGTAGAAAGGATCTTAAAGAACTTTGGACTTTGTGATATGGAAGACAGAGGTTGGGACAGAGCAGGAGCAGGAGCAGAGCTTGGGGTAATAGTGTGGGGGTGATGTTGGCCCCACCCTGTGAGCCTCCTTTTTTTCTTCTCTACCCCCAGGTCACACCTGTCAAAGTCACTGCATGCCCATCCCTGCTTCCCTCTTCAAGTGCTGCTGATAGTGCTAGCATCCAGTGGGCTTCTCCAGCACGCTGCCTTCCGGTATTAGGGCATTTTATTCTTCCTCTTCCTGAGTCCCTGCATATCCAGGCGAGCATCCTCCAATGTCTCCAGTGCACTGTTAGCTCTACTCTGCTCTGACGGTGTATCAGTCAGGGTTTACTAGAGAAGCAGATAAAACACAAGATATACAAATGTACAAGAAATTACAAGTTTGGCTTACAATGGTCAGCCACAGAGTTGAATGGAGAAGCCTGCAGAAGATGTCTGCACGCTGGAGATTGAAGAGCCCAGTCCAAGGCCTGGAGCTCACTGCAGTGTCCGTGCAAGTCCGTATCAGGAGACTGGTGGGTCTGCAACAGAACACTGAAGAATCCATGATGAAGATCAGAGAGCCTACACCAGAAGGCTGAAGAGTCCCAGGCAGAAGCCAAACAGTCTGCACCGGAAGCCAGGAGATGACCAAGCTGGAGGGGAAGACTGGAGCTCCTCCGAAGAACCACCAGCCTGTCTTTTCTCAATTCCCTTTTTTTATGCAGCCTACTTGCTGCCCCCGACCCCCGGGGGGGGGGGGACGGTTGTCTTCTACAACCACACCCTCTGCATGCCTTCCTCTTTCACAGGCTCAGGATGAATACAAAATAAGCACCCTGGCTCCCTGCTGAGTCACATAGTTAACCTTTTAAACTTCTCAAATTGACACAATAAACAACATCCCAAAAAGGTAAAGACATGTCCTTTTTACCCCAAGATGCAAAACTGCTGAGTCACTTAGCCAAACCTCTAGACTTCCCAAGTTAATACAATGTATCAACCATAATAGCCCAGCATGGTGGTGCAGGCCTGTAATCCCAGCACTCAGGAGGCTGAGGCAGGAGGATCATTGCAAGTTTGAGGCCAGCCTGGACTACAAAGTGAGCTGAAGGCCAGCCTGAACTGCACTGTGAGACTCTGTCTCAAAAAGACCAAAACAAAAAAAAAACACCAAAAACATAACAGATGGCTTTCCTCCATATCATCTTTTTATGAAAATATGACACAATGTTAGTCTACCTGAGATGCTCATAGGCTTTCTATTTGGTAAAATAAGGAATGTTTAGGTATGTTTCTGTGTATCACCTTGGTCATTTAGTCTCTCCCTTTATACTTGCCTCTCTATGATTAATATTAAAATGAAGCATTCTTTCTATTCAGTCATAACACGCTAAATAATATGAACAAATTAATACATTTAAAGCATCTTAGCAAAACTATATAGTTCAAATTTGAATGTGCTATACATATTAATATTTTTCTGAGCTTGTGGAGAAAAGAAGGAACCATACATTTATATATTATTTCTTATTTTATTATTTCAATATCTGTCGTGACAATTGGGAATTCTGAAAAAAAGAATAGCTTTATGTAAGAAACAAGGAAATTTCTCATTAAATAAAGAATTATAATATTAATTATGACACATAAATCTATAGACTCAACAGCAACATTTTACACTAAAAGTCATACATTTCCCTTAAAAATGCTCGTTGTAAAATGTATGTTGATCATTGAAAGAATCCACATAATAAATATTTTCCATTGTGCACAGATATTAAACCTGAAGGAAAATTAAATATAATAAAATAATCATTTGTGGCTTCCCCTAAAGAACCAACCATTCATGGAACATAAATAATACATTTCCCTGCTATTTGTGTTGTTTCCTAATCCAGAGCTTTTTCATGGCATTTTTCATGTCTGCATTTCTTAGAGTATAGATGAGGGGGTTCAACATAGGAGTGATAGCCGTGTTAAACACAGTCAAGGATTTATCAATGGGCAAGGTAGAGGGAGGTCTCACATACCCAAAAATGCAAGGAACAAAGAAGAGGACGACCACCGTGATGTGGGAGCCACAGGTGGATAAGGCCTTGTGCCTCCCTTCCTGACTCAGGTTCTTCAGGGAGCACAGAATGACCCCGTAGGAGATTAGTAAGAGTGAAAAGATGACCACACACATGGCACCATCATTGGCCAACACTGTGAGGCCAATAATGTAGGTGTCAGTGCAGGCGAGTTTTAATAAGGGGTACATGTCACAGATGAAGTGGTCAATGATATTGGGGCCACAGAAAGGAAGGTTGTAAACAAAAAGAATGTGAGACAGAGCATGCACAAAACCTCCAGCCCAGGCCAATACCAACAGCTGAACACAGAGCCGCTGGTTCATGATGGTCAAATAATGCAAGGGTTTGCAGATGGCTACATAGCGGTCATAGGCCATGATGACCAGGAGCAAAATCTCAGCACCACCAAAGAAGTGTTCAAAAAAAAGCTGCATCATACAAGCTTCAAACGAAATGGTTTTCCTTTCATGGAGTAAGTCTATCATCATATTTGGGATAACTGTGTTAGAATAAACAGCATCCATAAATGATAAGTAGCCAAGAAAGAAGAACATCGGGGCATCCAAGGCTGGGCTGAGCACCACAGTTAGGACGATGAGCAGGTTGCCTGCCATCGTTACCAGGTAGATCAGCAAGAACACAGCGAATAGTATTTTCCGACCCTGGAGGCTCTGAGTGAGCCCCAAGAGCACAAACTCGGTCACATTGTTCCTTTGTTCCATCCGTCCTTTGGTGTGTGTTCTTCTGTCACTGCTCAGGACAAAGTTATCTGCACATAGAATTATTAGCCATGACCTCATTAAATTTTAGGAGAATTTCTTTATTTTATAAATAGGCAATATGATTTATTATGTTCTGGAACTATCTAAGATTGTAACAACATAAGACTGACAAAAGCATGGTGCTCAACCTAGGGATTTTGTAGAGAGTTAGGGTCTGAAAAAAGAAACTAGAAACTTGGAACAAGGACTGATTAAGAAAAAATGACTCTACCCCGACTGATTTCTTATCTGCAAGCTTATAATACTGCACACATGCATAGTACCATAAAATGAACCCACATTAAAAACTTTATGTAAAACAAGTTACTTATATACACTTCAACTGATAAGGAGAAATGGCTCTGCACCTGAGACAGAAGAATATCATCAACTAATGATAAAACTCTCAACCACATTTGCAATATCAACAGTTTGTAAGACTGTAGATAATGTTTCCTTAAATAGCAGAAATAGTTAAGGGTTGTTTATGTTCATGACACTGGTATGCTGCTACTGTTCTATTTTTTTGTTTATTTGTTTCTCATTTATTACTCTTTTTAAAATAAAAAAATATAGTTAAGGAAAGAACTTAAAATCAAATGGCATAAAAAGAGTTAGTACCTAAAGTATGAAAAAGCCTCTTAAGAAGTTAGTAATTGGGGCTGGGGGTTTAGCTCAGCGGCAAAAGCGCCTGCCTGGCATGCGCAAGGTCGTGAGTTCGGTTCCAGGTACCGGAGAAAAACCAAAAAAAAAGAAGTTAGTAATTAAAAGACAAGCCAATAGCAAATTGAGAAAATAACGCAAACAAGGAACTAAAGGAAAAGTGTACCCAAAATGACCATAAATATAGGATAGGATGCTCAAGTTCACCTGTAAACAGGAAAAGCAAAATGAAAAAAAACAGATATTTCACATATGTCATAATTTAAAACTGATGAATTTAAAAGTGTTAGTAAAAATGACCAGAATCCTAACTTCCACTGAGACTTTATAATTTTTTGGAACATAATTTTTTTTATCTCTTTTGGAAGTAAAATTACATATACTTTTTATCACAACTGTTTCACTCTTGGGAATCTATTGCATAGCTATTAAAGCCCTAGAGCCGGGGATGTAGCTCAGTGGCATGGGGCCTGCCTGGCAAGCACAAGGCCCTGGGTTTGATTCCTGGTACAAAAATAAAAAACAGATATTAAAGCCCTAATACACAAGGACATATGTGCAGCAGGTTTTGTGGCATTATTTATAATGCCCTTAGACCAAAACATAAAAATAAATTTAAGGTGGAAGCTAACAGAGAAATTGTTGAATGGAATACAAAAATCTATGAAATTGCAAATAAATATTTAAAAGAACTAATTACAGTAATATCAGTACTTGGGCCAGGGATTTAGCTCAGTGGCATAAGCGCCTGCCTGGCAAGCACAAGGTCCTGAGCCCGATTCCCAGTACCAAAAAAAAAAAAAAAAAAAAAAAAAAAAAATAATATCAGTACTCTATTCTGAGAACTTCCACAAGTTACTGTAAAATAATAAATAATCACAAAACTACATACAACATGATATTATCAGAAAAAAAATTTTAAAACCTATATGTATCCACTCATATGTGGTCAGATAAGCATGGAGAATATGGAAGGATATGTGTTTTGCTGTGACCATGGATGACATTACTGGTATTTATGCAGGGAGAAGCCAGGGGGTTTTATGCAAAAGACTGAAATGACAGGAGAGGAGGATGAGAGAGGAGAGAAGAAAAAAGAATAGAAAAGGCATGGAAGAGGAGGAGGGGAGTGGGAGGGAGGGAAGGAGAGCAAAAAGGAGGGAAGGGAAAGAGAAGAGAGAGGGGAAGGGAGAGGGAGGGGTGAAAGAGGGGAGAGGAGGGGTGTAAAAGCAAAAGGCGGGGGAAAAAGAGGGACTGGGAGCAGAGCAGTAACAGGCAATGGAGAAGAAGATTTAACAGACAAAGAAAACATCACCATAGGAAGGATCAGCATTCACTAGCCCCATTTCCTGTTAAAGTGATCCTAGTAATGCCAGTCGCTTTCTGAGTCTCTGTTAATTACTTCACTCTGACTTTATAAATTCTGCCCCGGTTCCTTTCATAAACATGGATCATCTGTCTTCCTAGCTCTATCCCATGTCTACGCTCATGCTGTAGATTTCATCCTCTTTATAACTCTTAAGAACACAGCTCCTCCAATTTTCCCTTCCATTTCCTATGCCAACAATTTTCCTCCTTCGCACACACCATTCTGTCAGCACATGTATGTAGTATTTCTCCATGTTAAAATGGTCTATCCTTTGACTCTACACTGCCTTCAAGCAATCATTCCCACTCAGTTGCATAATATCCTTCTATTTATTAAGTCCTTAGTCAACTGGCGTCTTCTGCTGTGATCCAATGTTAGGATTCACTAAAAGAACAGCTTGCTCACTTAAATACTAAACTAGGTTCTCTAAAGCCATGCATTCAACTTCTACACTTGCTGCACCACTTAATTTTTAACAATCTAAATAATTCTTAGACGGTAAGTCTGTTGATTCTATCTAGAGATTAACAAACACTTGCACACCAAAGATCTCTCAAATAGTTACACATTAAATTAGTTTGTAAGAATACTGATGCTACAGAAAGTAAACTTATCAAGATATACTTATGTGCATATCCAACATAAAGCCTGCTTCCAAGTCTTACAGAAAAATACTCCTCCAGGGATTTTTATAATATCAAAATATCCAAGAAAAGTATTAAAGTTTGGAGCTAAGGTAAATATATTTTAGCTATCACAAAAGACCTCCTGATGTAATTCATTATCAGAACCACATAGAGCTGTTATGTTTATGAATTTTTATGTCACCAAAGTACTGTACTTTCATAATGTAAAGCCTAGTTCAGAATCTTACAAAGAAATACTCCTTCTGAGTTACCTGCATAAAGGGGCAGTCATTCTCTCCAAGTTGTAGATTTTGGTGCTTTCTCCTTGGTCCTGAATGATCACAGCATCATGCACCCATAGCATCTCTAGGAATACAAGAGACAAAATCATACATGCACCACCCCTGCACCTTGAGATGTTTCCGTTCCATTTTTTCCCATGCTTTCAGAAAGGTGGCTTCATCAAACTTTCCAAAAAATGTTATTCTTATTTTTTTTCAATTTTTAAAATCAATACCAAGAATGCCCTATAATATCAAGAAATATGAATCTTGATTATAAACAACGAAATCCCAAATCGATGCCATTGGCAAAATTTGACCTAACAATAAACAAAGTTTAACACAGCATTTTTAGGGTTAATAACCCTGAAATTGGGGGGGGGAATCATGAATTGTTAAGATGCATATTTGCAATTTATGTTTTATTCACTGACACTGAAATAATGAAAGGGCCTTTAAAATATTATGACTCTCAGTCAGGTATACTGGCCTGGCTACAGAGAACAGGCTTACATTTAATGTTGACTGAAGGGCAGGGGAAGATTTAGTCCCTATCCTACCACGCTTTGCAACTGTCATTACAATTCCTAAGAAAACAGTCACATGAGTACCAGTGTAGACAGGCTCTCTGAGGCAAGGTCAAAGCTCTGTGGACACTTTATCTGTATTGGAACCACAACACATGTTGTTGAATCATTCAGTCACTGCATCTCAAAGGCTGAGTTTCCTTAATTAAACTCTTTGGGACCCTACTCACAATGCTGAGGGAAGACTCCACCTCCAGAGGTGCCAGAGGATAAGTTTTGTAGTGACACACTCTCTTGGGGAAATATCATAATTGAACAACTTAAAGTCAAATCACCATGTCTTGGCAGTAATGAAATCTGTAAAAAATGTTCCTCCTAAAATCATAACCTATGAGTGTAAGAGAAACTATAAGGAAGATGAAATGATCAAATTATATTGTGTACATGTAAGAAAAATCCCAATATTTTGTAAAAATAAGAAAAATTTCTAATAGTACTATATTTAAGAAAATCCCAATAGTACATAAAAATAAGAACTTCTAAAAGAATTATATTGTTTAAAAACTCATGCCCTACATATAAGTGAATTTGGTGAGTAAAAGTTTTAACCTGTGCCTTTTCATCTGACATTTGATCTCACAATCAGAGATGAAGACACTGATTTCAGAACAAGTCATGAAAACGTGTAGTCTTCAACATGTGGAAATCCAGTTTTCCCAGCACTATTTATTTTCCCAGTGAATATGCTTGTTTTCTCTGTCAAAGATAAGGTAGGTGAGCGTGTTGAAGTTGTTTCTGCATCTTCTAATCTGTTCCATTGATCCTCTTGTCAGTTTCTTTGCCAGTAATGTGCTGTTTTTATCACAGTAGGTATATTAAAAGTACAGGTCTAGAGGACCATAATCTCTATAGGACTAGAGGTCCTATTTGACCCAGATATTCACCTTTTCAATATCTTCCCAAAAGAATTGAAAATAGCATACCACTGACATATGTGCACTCATGTTTATAGCAGCACAGTTTGTAAGAGCTAAATCTTGGAAATAGCCTAAATGCTCATCAACTGATGAATGGATAAAGATGTGGGTATTTATATAATGGAGTACTACTCAGCCATCACAAAGGATAAACTTGAGACAGCTTTTTACTAAATGGATGAACCTTGTCCATACTCTCAAGTGAAATAAATTGGACACACACATGTAAATATCATATTGTCTCACTGGTGTGAGAAACTAAAAGTGGAAATGAGAACCAAATCATACAATAGATATGGTGAAATGGGAAAAAATGCTCAAAAAGAGCAATTTAGTTCCTAGAGGGCGAGGGGGAGAGGAAGAAATGGAAAAGAAAAAATGAGAAAAGAAGGATGAAACGGAAACAAAGCTTTGTAAATAAGGAGGAGAATGTAAGTCAAATACAGATAAAGCCTGGTTTGCCGCCAAAAAACAAAGTCTTGTATCTAACATAATTTCAAAGAGGTCAGTTATTAGAA